GAGGATGGGGCCAAGCTCTTTTCAGTGGTGCCCAGTGACAGGACAAGGGGCAATGGGCACAAACTGAAGCATAGGAAGTTCCGTCTGAACATGAGGAAGAACTTCTTCCCTCTGAGGGTGACGGAGCACTGGAACAGGCTGCCCAGGGAGGTGGTGGAGGTCTCCTTCTCTGGAGGTATTCAAGACCCGCCTGGACAAGGTCCTGTGCAGCCTACCGTAGGAGACCCTGCTTCGGCAGGACCACAAAGGTCCCTTCCAACCCCTAACATACTGTGATACTGTGACAATGTTTGCTTATGTATATGTAAAAGACACTCATAAGAATTAACTTCTCAGAAGTGGGTGTCACAGAGTTCAGTTTCTTAAAACCACTGTAGATTCCTTCCTTTTCTCTAAGTACCTTGTAATCAGTGCCTGTGTGCTAATCATCATCTTGTGAGATCCATGTCCTAAAGAAAACTGCATGTGCATCAGTCCATTCCATCCTACCAAGTCTTCTGGCCTTGGCTGCAATGGTCACAATTTCAAAGCCAACAAGAGCACATCATTGGTATTAGAAGTAGTTCACTTGTGTGAATAGAACAAAGTCTAAGCACTGGACAGAATTTCAGTCTTTAAGCATGATCTCCAGAAGAGGTTGTTTTAAATGGCATTTATTTTATCAATACAGAGTTTAACTGAAAAATCAAGAAGACCAACATTTCCCATTTGTTCTTTTCCCCAACAATAATGTGGTCTGAGGGCCATGGATAAAGAAGTCTGTATGTGACATAGGAGATGGCTGGAAGTTGACTGCAATTTCATAACACACGAGGAAAGCTCATGAAGAAAACTAAAAGGAATACAACCCATGTTTCCATAAAAATGTGACTCCTAGAACAATAAGTGAAAGATGCAGTCACTGCTTAGAAACCTTTTACCTGATGAAGGTGTGGGGTTTTTTTTCAGTGCATCTTCCCCACATAAGCGAGCTCTTTTCTCTTGAGTAAAAACAATTCTGATACTGAATATCTTTTTCTTATGGTATTGCACTGTAATTGATATCAGCAAAAGGCCAGATACAGAAAACTCATTTTCTACTTTTGACTTTGATAGGAGTTTGTTCTGATTGGAAAGTGAGAAATCACTAATTTTAAGAAGATAATGAATATTGTAACATTTTCATCCAGTTACCAAAAAATAGCTGCAATATCTAGTTATATGTAGTGAGAAGAAAGCTGACACCAAGTCAAATATGATCAAAAATACAATGTAAACTTCTGTATGCTTTTATTTGGCAATTAGGCTGCTATTTTAATTGATTATTCTGGAATAAAATATACTGAACAGATTTGTCAACCTTTGTGTGACTTTTAAGTAATTCTGAGAATGATGTTGCTTTCCTAGGTACATGGATTTCTTCCCCACTCCTTCTAATGTCACCACTGACTTCCTCTTTGAGAAAAGTGCCAACTATTTCCATTCTGAGGAAGCTCCTAAGCGAGCTGCTTCCCTCATCCCCAAGGCCAAGATCATCACCATCCTCATTGACCCATCCGATCGGGCGTATTCCTGGTATCAGGTATGCACTTTGAAGAACATGGGCAGGCACAAATCTAGGTTTCTACCTTTAATCCTCTCTGTATATCCTTTCAGTATATATGTATGTAAAGAGTTTGGATGATACAGGCTTTTATTCATCCGCTAGTGCACCATATATGATCACCCGTGAGCTGTCAGTGTAAACCTGAAAATCTGTCAAGGGTTAAAATACAAGAAACTACCTTTTCAAAAGCCTGCCTGTAATATAATCATGTAAAAATGCTTACTTATTCAATTCATTTATGTAATCAGCACATACAAAAATTTGTTTATAGACACAGTTATCTAGTTCATGCTTAAAACACAACATAGATTGAAAAATTTTTGTTCTTATGGTCTGCAGATTTCAACAGGAATTGGCAAAATAAAGATATTTTTGAAAAAAAGATAAAATTCCAAAGAGAACAAAATTCTTAGAACTTTTATGGCATATTTTATGGTTGGTTTTCTTGAGAAGTAATCACAGCCCTGAGTCTCATCCCATAGGTTGCCCTGCTTTGGACAGGTGGCTTGACTAGAAACCTGCTGAGATCCCTCCTGACCTCAGTTATCCAATGATCCCCGTAAATACCCGTGTCGAATTTGCCTTTCTGATATTTACCTTGTGTAAGCTAGAAAAAGAAATTATGAAACTACTAGAAGCAGAACTTGTTAGTATTTGTGTTTATTATGCCCAATTCATTTGTACAAAGCCTACCACTCAGTTTATTGAAAATAAACATTTATACATTTGGTTTTGTTATTGCTATTATCAGTCTAGCTTCTGATTTCTTTTCATACAAATAATATCTATTGATATGAACAATGTTTATCCCAGCATTTTCAATGAATTAATACAGATGAGGACTTTTACCTTTAATTAACTTTTAGTGTAAATAATCACTCATGGCAAGGTGAGTAAGGCCACGTCAGTAAGACCAACCAGTTTTGTCTTATTTTCCCAACTTTGCAGTCTGTAAAGTTCCAGCAATGTAACTTCTTTTACAGCATCAGCGATCACATGAAGATCCTGCAGCTCTAAAATTCAGCTTCTATCAGGTGATCACAGCTGGACCTCGAGCCCCATCTGAGCTTAGAGCTCTCCAAAAGAGATGCCTAGCACCTGGATGGTATGCTGTCCATATTGAAAGATGGCTCACTTACTTCCCACCTTATCAGGTGAATAAGACTGTAACTTGACATGTTGATCTCATATATATAATATTGTAAAAGATTACCTTCATAAAAGTCTTGCCTACTGAATACTGATCCTCAGCAGTATCCTAGATACACTAAAGCATGTTTTAAGACATTGATTACAATTATTCATAGCCATGTTCCAAGTAGTTGGTTGACATTACTAGGGCTGTCATGTCTTAGCACTTACAGCTGGGAGCTTCTTCTGCAAAACAACTCGGAACAATAATCTGGAGGCTCAAGAAACATCAGTGCTGCTCCTTGAACTCTCTTGTACCCTGAACTGCCTGTAACTTACAGCTGGTTTGCAGTTGCTCATGCTTTCGTTGCTCTATGTGTGGCTCTTTGTCAGTAATGTTGAGGAAAAGAGAACCAGGCATGCAGTGCTTTGTGGTCTCTTTAATGTTAGATGGTCCATCAGGCTTCCCAAAAGAAAAATTGAAGGAAAGTAAAGGGAAGCTGCTCAGTAATGTTTCTATCTACTCTGAGCGGTAGCTAGTATCAGCGAGCATCAGGGAAGGCCTGCCGGGATATTGCCCTCCCTGCATGGGTTGAGAAGAGGTTGGTGTCTGAACACTTTGGGGTGTAAAAAAAGTAATTTCCATCCGAAATAGGGATTACCACATGTGATCTAGTGGGTTTGTAACACCTCAATATTTAAATGCATCAGTGTCTTCATCCACTTCTTGGTCCTTTCATGCAGTAATCTCCCACTGTGTCAACCTCCTTAGGCTGTGACTGTAGCAGTAAATAAACCTGTACCTGTGCAAGAATTCACACGCTGACCCACTGCTGTCCATGCTGCTTGTTTTTTAATGCATTTCTGGCACGGTTTGGACTCATAGCAAAAAGCATCTTGCCAAGCAGTTCCAGAGCACAGTTAGAAAGATAACAAGCACCATTGCCATTGGGAAGTGTGGAAACAACCAATTCTGGGTGAGAGAGTTTAGCAACATGGATCCAGGTCATGCTGTGCCATTTGGCCTCAAGACCAGAAAGCTGTCTCTAATTTGCTCTGGTTAGCAATACAGATAAAGCCTTTGTGTACATCAGTGTGTTCGCCATCTCAGGCATCACCAGTTTTTTAGCTGAATTCATGTTTTGCCTAACATGACATTTCTGTAACTGTCAAAGCACTGGGTCTGTTGTGCACACTTTGTTCTTGGAAATTCCTCACACATTGCTGCCCGTAACAGTGCAACCACATATCAGAGCCTCTGTTGGGCTCTGATATCACTTATCCTGAATCCTCAACATATTCTTTGTGTTAAGACCAGTTTCTCTGTGTATCTTTGAGCCTCAAAGGGTGTGTGTTTATGAACCCATAGGTTTCAGTATAGGTGGCACAGAAGCAACCTGAAAATTAGACCTCCCTGCAAGCTTCTGTCTTTTTTTTGTATTTTTTTATAAAATATACAAATGATTAGCCTCCTTCTTGCCCTGTGTAAGATCAGGCCTCAAAAGATGCACATCCTAAGCCCTGAACGTCATGTGATATACAAAGACAGGCAGACATTTTTTCTCTTTGGTAGATTTATTTCTGGAATGAATTTTCCTGACGTTAGCAGCGTGTCTGGCACTACTCCCCACCCAACATTTAAAGATTACTTTAGTTGAGGGAGGTTGGCTGCAGTCAGAACCTTCTGTTTATCCAGGACTTGCTTAGCTGAGACAAGTTGGCTGGAGTCTGTACCTTCTGTTTTCCCAGAGTGTGCCAAGGAAGCTCTGATGCATCTACTTAGTGTTATTCTCCACATATTCTCTTTTGCAGACTTCATGAGATACACAGTACTGTAATATCATGATACTCGTATAAAATTCTCTACATTATGTTTTCATTAGCTTTTCTCCAAAAGTAACCCGTGAATATGGAGCAATATGCATTATCATACAGATTTTTGCCAGATTTTACATCCTACAGTGACAGTGAAGAACCAGCCCTGGTAGCCTTCTGTTTTCTGTGTAAAAGTACTAGGGATTAACTTGCATTGCAAAAGCAATGCTATACGGTAGGCCGTATCCAAACTAGGTAGCAAGTTCAAGGAACAGCTGAAGCATAAAACAGGTACATAAAGCAGACCTAAAATCAGCTCAGCCTTATCTAAAAAAAAATGAGAGCCTTCCTTCACCAAAAGAGCTCTCACCCAGACGAGCTAAGGCTATCTGTAATTTTTAATGCGGTGTATATTTAGGAGTCTCTACATGTGTAGAGACTGAATTGAAGTCTTAAAGTCCATTATGAAGTTAGCAGGCATACAGTAAGTGGTGAATGTAGCAATAGGAATAGGTAAGGTTCCCCTTTTCATTAGGAAAGTAGTAATAGCACATTTGTCTTACATGGTAAGAATTTGCAAATCTCAGAGTACTTTGCAAATTTGGGGTTTAAAAGTTTAGAATTTTGATTGACTTAATTTATTATCTCATAAGTCATGAAAAAAAGTCCTCTTTTGTCTGGCCACCAAGACAGATCTCTAGAAGTTCAGGAAGCTCATGTCTCTTAAGTTAATTTCCCGCTTACAACTCATCGCTTCAATGCAGTCATACAGAAAAAGAGAAGACCTAGCATGATGAATTTCCTCATGAGCCGTAAGATACGCTCATGCGCCAGCCCTGTGGGAAGTCAAGCTGATTTTGGAACAAACATTGTTAAATGTCCGGTCTGAAGCTGAAGGACTTGGGCTGTTTCTAAGCTGTTCTCCTCTCCAAACTGCCTCTCTTGCTCCTCTCCTGCCATGGTGTGTTTTAGACACCAAGTAACTCATGCATAGTGGGAGAGCAGGGACTTAAACAGTCTCTTCAACTGTCAGCAATATTACAATAAAATGATCAATACACTGTAAAGTAGCTCAAAATACTTTATCTGTAGTATTTTCATTATATATGAAGCTACTTTGTAAAAATTACACTAAATTTTTCTGCCTTGGCAATACATGAAATGACTTAGATATTGAGTAATTTCATGAAATTACATCTTCCTGAGATCAGTATATGAATAAATCAGTACAAGTAAGGAAAAATTTTGCCTCAGTTCCTTAAAACCTCCCTGAAGGTTGAGAGGGAGCATTTTTTGTTACCTGGTCCCTGGGAATGTCAGGAATTGGAATGAATTTCCACTGGTAAAACTTTTTTTTACATGTCTTTTTTCGGGTGGCAGAAGTGGGAATGGCACAGATATTTATCTCTATATGTTTTTCAAATAGTGAAGAAAAAAACCCTTACTCCTTTTCTTTCAGATGGAAATATCCTCCATTTGTGCTGGTTTTTGACCTCTGCTATGTAGTACGTAAGCCCTGTTTTCAAAGCTTCGGCAAAGCAGTGAGTTCATTTTTGGACTCAGGCAGTCATCATGCATCTGATTGCAAAGACTGCTGGAATAAGCTGCTGCTTTCTGAACAGCCTGATACTTCCACTAATTCATGTCTCAAAATTTACATGCTATATATGGGTAATTCCAAAGACCGATCTTTCAAAAGAAAAGGCATTTTCTCCCTTTTGATTACGCTCTGAAACCTCATAGTCTTGCAAACCTGTAAATTTCATCTAATCCTGGAAACAATCTGTATTATTTTAGCCTCTCTGCTTGCATGGAAATGTAAAAACAAGCTTCAGCACTGCTTGCAGCAGGAGGTTGTTGAACCATCTGCAAATCTATTTCCCCTCTCCTTTTCATCACTAAAGCATGATCAAAAAAGTAGAGGTGTTTCCATGGCAGGAAATGAATGCTTGACTAATCCATTTGAGACTTTGCTTGTCTTCCAGCAGTCACAAAGACCCAAACTTGCTGCACCATCAGTGGCTCGTTTGGGCATGATACCACATTTAATAAAATTCTCAGGTAGCGTCTGTTTCCCTGAAGAGTCATCTCCAGGTAAAAGGGTGGCCCTGTCTGAAGCAGCCTAATGTGAGCGTGTACGTGGTCAAGCACTTGACAAGAAGAAAAAGAAATTACCTACCAGTACCTGGCTTTCTCAGAGATGTGTTGCACATTCTGTATCTCTCTGTATCCCTGCCTTAAGGTCTTCATAACATCTGCCTTTATTAATATTTTGAGAGAATTTTTTTCATACAATTACGTATTATTGTATGGGTTTAGAAGTAAGGCTTTTCACCTGACATCTACCTACTGGTTTCAGTCGTTCTGGTCATTTCCACGTACCAGCTTTTCAGTGTTACTGTGATGTAAATATGTATAGATTTGTGTCTGTGAGAATTAAGGTTATTTCCCTAGACATTAATACCTTTTTTCCTTGTCTGGACAAATCTCACTCAATTTCCTGCCAATATTTCTTCTCTTTCTAGATCCTTCACTACTATTTCTCTGTTGTCACAACAGCTTCCAATTTCATATAATTTCAGATTTAATTAACATGCCATTTACCCTGCTCCCAGGTCATTAATAATGATGACAATTAAAACTATACCAGTTATCATTCTCTGGGGCAATAGTCTCCATATAATGAGTTATTTTGACAGAGGTGGAAGTTTCAGTTTGAAGCTTCAAATAATGAATTTTAAATTAAACTTCCGTTTATTTCATTTGTTATAGTTGCTAATTATTGATGGACAGCAGCTGAGAACTGACCCGTCTACTGTAATGGATGAAGTACAGAAATTTCTTGGAGTCTCTCCTCATTATAACTACTCTGAAGCCCTAACGTGAGTTAACTTAATCATCATTTTCACATGTTCATACATTCCGAAAATACCAGTTAATCTGTAAGTAAGCTCACTGCAAAATTAAGCCTCTCATACTTCTCCTTTAAGCTGTCAGTAGGATGTATTCTTCAATGTCTGCAAAGAACACAATTCAGGGTTAGATTTTCTGTGAAACATGCACTGAGCCACTCAGTGTGGAGCTTGACTGTTACAGAAGTAGACCTCTGACAAACAGACAAAGTAAGTATTGCTTTGTGAGAACTGCATACGAATTGTGGATGAATCAAAAGGAATTTTGTTTCCAGAAGTGGAACATGGAATGCTGATGTGCATAAACAGAAAGGAAGGAGAATTAGTTTCTATTTCTGACATTATTTGCCAGACAGATTCAACAGTATCCGTCAGGAGTGGAACATCCACTCTGTACATCATAAATACATGTGTACACAAATCCTTTGGATTCTGACATTTAGATTTGGTTGCCCTTAAAACAAGACTGATAACCTTAGGTTTACTCTTTTGAGTCTTCAGTCTGAACTTCGGGGATGCATCCTCCTTACAGTACCTCACAGCCTTTACAGTGCAAAATACTTGTTTCAGGTTCGATTCACATAAAGGTTTCTGGTGTCAGCTCCTTGAAGAAGGAAAAACAAAGTGTCTTGGAAAGAGCAAAGGTAGAAAATACCCTCCGATGGATTCTGAGGTAAACCATTGTGCTCACTGGCATTACACAGGGACTCAGTTGCTACGTAGGGGACACCACACAGGCAAAATCATAAGAAGGGAGCGAAGATAAAATTAAATAAATGTCAATTATTTTACTTGTGAAGAATTGAAGTCCTTAAAAAACAACTATTAAAACTTGGCACCCCTTAGAAAAATAAACTTGGCACCCCTGAGATTCACTTGGAAACCTGTCCCCTTTACCTAAGTCACTTAAGCAGCACAGACTCCACAATGCATGTTTTTTTTCCTCAGTCATGATCAGATATGTATATTTGTGTCTGGTCCCTTGTCTTTGAGAGTAGTTAGACCATGACAAGTAATGCAGACCCTCATATAATCCAATTTTAAGAGAGGTTGGGTTCTGTTTCTATGAATTTTATAAATAACTTTCCCAGACAAATGCTTAAATGAAGAAATTGCCGTCAGATCAAATGCTGCAGACTGTACACGAGGGCAGTTTAGTCTCCTGTTTTAACTGTAACTTTTATGTTTGTTCTGTCCTGTATTCCCATTTCATTTAGTCTGACTAAAACGCAAATAAAAACTTACAGTTTGAAGAGCAGTAAATATTAATGTGGCAAGTAGGCTGGGATTTTTTTTCTCACAGTACTAAAGTTATAAGTAATTTTACATCAGTATAATCATACTGATATAAAATCATTGGGTGAGAAGGCTTTTGGCCAGAGATATGACGAGTCTGTGTTTGTTTACTGTTGTACTTTTCAACACTAAATACTTCTGAACATGAGGTTACTAATTGATAAATGCCTACATACGAAGGTATTTTAGCAACTTTGGTTTCAGTCACACTTCAGTAAATTCAGGGTAACTGCATCAGCTTCAGTGCAATTCTTAATTTATATGACTACCTGAGAGTAGAATCAGGTCCTTTGCTTTGACTTCAGTGTTAATTTTGGACAACATTTATTTCTCTTGAAATTATCTTTTACAGTTCAGCTCCTAAATGAAGAGCTTAAACTTGCATGCAGTAGATAGCATAAAACAATATAAATTGCATAAGAGTAAGTGAAAGTTTTGACACAGATAGAATAAACTTTGAAACCTAGAATTCACAGCAACTGCAGTACAGCATTTTATTAAATAAAAATATTTCCTTTTGTATCCATCAGTGCAGGGCTTTTCTGTCAAGCTACTACAGAGATCACAATGTGGAACTGTCAAAACTTCTACACAAATTGGGACAACCCCTGCCATCGTGGCTGAGACAGGAGCTACAGAAAGTAAGATAGTATTGAAAAAAGGCTTTTTGAAATCTCTCTTCCACACTTCAGTCATCATACCTAAAGCCGCCAGTAGCTACCAGAAGGTCTTGTAAGATATGCCTCTCCAAAAAAGAGTAAAGGACAGAAATTATTTCCATATGCTGGCATGTGGATTGTGAAAATACATGTGTTTCTTAGAGCTCTGGTGGACCAAATCTTTCTCATAAACATTTCTGGGCCTGTGGACTTGTGGACTACAGCGCACATACGTGGAAGTTATTTGCAACTGGCATAAGCTTCAGAGATACATAACCTGTCCAATTTCATGGTAAATATTTACATTTTTATGTATCAGTTTAAAAGTATTGTGTCTCATGTAGGTTTTGTAGCCCATTGTTAGACCGCTGGCAGTTTTTTCTTTCTATTTGATTATCGCCTTGCATAAAATAAGAAAACTTTATGTAGCACAAAATGCCAAGTGTACTTCTGCCTTTGGAATCAGCTTGCTAATACCCCAAGTATATACTAACAAGGGTGAGAAGTACAGTTATCATATATAATTTAGCTGTGCACAGCAACAAAATACATGGAGCAAAATCTGGAAGCCATAGGCAAAAGCAGTGTAGAATACCCACGCCCAGTCCCCCCCCCAAAAAGAAAATAACCCATTACCTATGACTACAGCCTGTAACAAACCATTACAATGTGGTAAGGCCTTTGTCCATAATTATTGTTTCTTGTACTGACTGAAATGGCAAAATACAGAATATAGCTGTTATCAGAACCGAAATTTAATTGGACATATGAAGCACAAAAGTTGCAGTATAATCCTTATGAGTGGTATTATACTTCAACAATTGTGAACCAAACTGAAGCAGTGCAATGACCAGGCTTTCACTCCTGGCTTCTATGAGCAGCCAGATCCAGATACTGTGCTCTGGCCTTACATTGCTGTGAATCAGGAGTGACTCCACTGAAATAAAAGAAAAGCTTGTGAAGAGCAGAAACAGTTCCATACGTAGATTGCCTTCATTTGCACCATTATTTTTTCCTTAATTTATTTGCGTTCAGCCTATGCTTTGTGTATTCTGAGATCCCTCGACCTGATAAAAACTGTAGCATCTTTCAGTAATTTTTAGTTCATGTCAGCTGCAAAAATCTACCAGATTTTCAGATTAAAATACTGGTTCTGGTTCCAGACATTTTAAACAAGTTTGGTATTAAATATTAGGAATAAGCTTTAGGGGAAAAAAAATAAACTCAGTGTGTAATCTTGGTAGAAAAAATACACTCTAATCATGGAAAACACAAATATCCAGTCTTACATTTATGTGATACACTTCAGTGATCCATCTCACAATGCATCAGTTTAGATGTGAGATAAAGTCTGCTTAATAGTACTTAAAGGTTGAGAAAGAAGATCAATTAAATCCTCAGCTGAATATGGCCTTAATGCTTCTCCACTGAACTTTGGCTCTGAATGTTTCTAAAGGCATGAAGAGGTAGTGAAAACAAAAGAGAACTACAGTACTAAATGCAATGCTTTTTACAGTAGCTCTATAATGTTTTCATAATTTGTTTTAGGGTGAATAGTTAAAAACATGCATCAAATGGTGGAAAAACTTTATATGTCTCAGTGCTGTTTTACAACATTTAGGTAATCGTATCATTTAACTTTCAAGGCAAATGGAATGGAAACCAGTCTATTATTCCCTAAATAGAAAATGGATCTTGAGATCCTTACTGTACCTCTAACTGGTAATCTTTAATATTTATTGATTTTGTCTATGTAATACGTGGTTTTGATAGGCCTGTAAAGAAAAAATCTAGACAAATTCACTGTATATAACAATATTCTTTAAGCAGAACATTTTTGCTAAGGGAATATGCATGATTAATGATGATGACCTACTAGAGGAGACATTTTTTAAGATTAACATCTTTATTATTTATTGGACAGATGAGAATTTTCATTTCACTTTAAATATTCACTGTCATGTGGATTCATCCCAAAGGCTGACTTGTCTTAAAATACTTATTATTTGATAAAAGAAGCACTCTGGATTCTGAACATCTGTAAAAGCAAATACTCTGCATGCTATGGACAGCTCATGTGTCCTGCAAGCTTCTGTATGGATTTGTTACAACTAAATTGATTAACTGGAGAAAATACCTGGGGTTTTCACCCTGGCATGATTGATTTTACGCTTGATATAATCTGATGTAACATCACCCAAACATTTTTTAAAAATCCGCAGAGATGGCATGAACCTCCTGTTTTGTGCACTGCTGCCTTAGTTACTCCATGTTCTTCAGAACAGCAATTATAAAACAGGAGAAACGAGGAAAAACCTTGGGCGCTATCAAATGCCTGAAGTTTTCATGGTGAGAGGACCCTCTGCACACAAATTGCATGCCTTCTACATGCAGGAGGAATGGGCTTCAGCCAAATTCATAGTTCATTCTTTGCGTTCAAGAACTCTTTTTCTGTCTTCTTTCTCTGGGAAATCAGGGGCCCCACAAAATGAGAATGAGTGGGCAGTCAAGGACAGAGTGATGATGGGGACATGCACATCAGTCACATTGTCCCCCCAGAAATTTCACAAGAAACAAGATGACATGTCTCAGATCTGTGGACTGCTTCTGTGAAGTCCTCTCTGAGGTACGGCAAGGAGCCTCCTACAATTGTCGGTGATCTGGTAAAACAGCCCAGCTGTGGTCACCATGGAGCACTGGGAGGATAAGCTCCTCACATGCACAGCCTTGGCCTTGGGTGGACTAGGCTTTGTTTGTCAGCTAAACGCAAAGCTCATCCTCCAGGAAGGAGTGCCGTGGTGACTCTCAAGTCCTGATGAGGAGCAGCAGGGTGCAGCTCTCGTACTGTCCCAGTGCCCTTCCGAAGGGAGGGAACTGGGAACAAAATGAGTGAGTCCCTAGGGAAATCTTCAGTGGATTCCTGTGGTAACTTTACCTAAGTCAATATTATGAACAAAGTAGCTCAACCATTTGATCCTGGAACTGTGCATCTGAAAGGGTGTGATCTTGAATCAGCATTAAGTCCAAGCTCCTGTTGAGATGCAGCTATTATGCACGAGCATCTTTAGGAAAGGTGCTACGGGATTAGCTTCTTGCACACGAGGCTGGCTAGTCTCAGGCACAAAAGCAATAAAGAAGTAAAGGCAAAACTGCTGGCGCTCAATGCAGTTCTGAATTTCTGATGTTCACTTATTACTTGTTTATAAAAAGATGGTATGAAGCCATTTTTTTTTCTCCAGAACTGTTCTATTTAAATACGTTCTTACATTTAACAGGAGACTCTAAAAAACAGAATGACTTTTAATGTGCAGTCAACTTGGTGAAGAATGAAGAATCTGAGCAAAGCATGCAGACAACAGCTAGACGTGATACTCCCCAAATCATAGGATGTACACGAGTACAGCTGAGTAAGCAAGTCATACAACATGAATTATCTGACAAAATTTAACCTCTTCTATTCACAGCTTACCTACAATCAATGTTTGCTTTCTAGAAATAGACTATCAGTATTAACACTCTTAAAAAAACCTGATTCATTACAAGGATTTTGTATTTTCTAGTGAAAGTCAGATGTTTTACTGTGGTTGGTAACACAGCCATGATTTCTGTTCCCCTGGTAGATAACTGCACAAGAAATTTCTTTTAACACTTGCTTGATCATGTGAGCTTCACATTTATTTTCATGAATATGATTCTGAAATTTGCTTTCTGCAGACATCCATGCCATTAAAAATCAATGTGTGATTATGAGCAGAAAGTGACCATTAAGGGGGGGGTGTAAACACAGAGCCTGGTATGAAATCACTTAATTATTTGAGCAAACATCCCTGAAAATACTGTGATATTTTCCCAGCTCTACTTGTGCAGAAAGATTTCAATGATTTTCTGACTGTCTTGTACAAAATATCCTTTTTCATTGCTTAAAAATGTGAAACTTCCTCAGGAAGAAATTAAATAGATATTTCAGTGTTTATAGATGTAATACTCTTGTCATTCACATTGAATGAAAATTGCTGGAAACATTTTTCTCAAAGTTTTTTTTAAATAAAAAATAGATATTATTCTGATAGTGGCATGGTATCTGAAGTGCAACAATAAACTCTGATAAGAAAATGTAGTGCTGTGTGGGAGTGAATTTTATGTTCACAAAAGTTGTCCTTTTCCAGGTTTCTTAGCAGCTATTGCAGTTTGACACTGAGCTACAACTCAGTCCAGGAGCATGGGAACAGCATGAAATGTTTTCAGAAATGAAAAATATTGCTTATTCTCTCTGTGAGTGAATATTACTGCTTTATGCAGCTGCTCGTTTTACTGCTTTTGCTTTCTGCTTACTTTTTATTTCTTGTGCCAGAAATTGCTAATGTGTCATAGGAACATTTCCAGAGCTTGCTATTTTTAAGATAACAAGCAGACTTTATTCAAATTATTTGCCTTGGGGATTCGATAGTTGTGCCAATGCATCAGCCTACACAGACACGAGAAAAACTTTCTTAGGAGAAACCTCTAAAGATGGTATGAATGTCCAAAGGAAAATTCACTGTTATCAACAAATTCAGAACAGAATAGAAAAGTGTACTATCTAGCTGGGCACAAGCTGCTTAATATCTTCATAGATGGGTAGAAAATAGGAAACCTATGTTAACAAAATATTCCATTTGTTACAGAGAAATGATGCAACCTACAATTTAGAAGTCCAAGCTTCTTTAATAGTACCCATCTCTATAATCTCTAAGAATAACCAAAGCAGAACAGTAAAGTAATAACAGAAAGGTAATAAGCAAAGGGAAAAGATCTTTGCTACAAATATCACCCGCCTGACCTCTGTCTCCAATTTATCTGCTTTCATTTAATGTTTCTTTTCAGTTCTTCCAATCCCAAATTCTTAAAGCTCAAAGGTAAAAGACACTTTTTTGTCTTTGTGGATGGATGAAGAAAGCACAACAGTCAGCATCAAAGGACAAATCACAGGAACAGGAAAGTAGTTAACAGCT